GGGCCGCGGCGGCAGCGGCAGCAGGAGGACGGGGAAGGGCCGTGGCTGCCCGGGCCGAGGTGGGGCCGCGCGGCGGAGACCTTATATCGGCGTATAACACGCACACATCATTTGCCCCCTATTTTCAGGGGAAAAAAGTGCGTGTTATACGCCAATAAATACGGTATATATTGCTTTTTGAAAATATAATAACCATTCACAGCTACAGTCTTAACACTAAACTTATATTGCCCTGGATAATTAGAATTAAGATGCTGCTAATAGGGCAGGGCAAAGCATTCATAAGAAGTGCTTTGGAAAGTATGTAAGCACAGATGGATCACTTCTTTTTATATATGCACAAAGACAATATTTTTTGGGGGGGGGATTGTCAACAAAACAAAGCAACTATGAATGTACACAGAGGTTGAAATAGTTGGGAACAACATTTAACTTTATTATATTTCTGTTTTTATATCACTTTTATGCTGTTGTAAATTACCCAGAGTCACTTAGTGAGATGGGAGGTGTAGAAATGTGATAAATAAAAAAAAATAAGGTGCATTAAGTCTTGCAAAAGATAAGGCTGATTAATGCTTTGAAGGACGATACTGTACTTAGTGTTTCAAATGCTTTGCACAATCCTCGGTGCTATTTTAATGGTATGTTTCAGTCAAAGCGACATTATACAGCTCTATCAAATAGAAATTGTTTTTACAAAAAAGATTGCTCTTACCTTTCTTTTGATGTCAATGAATTGAGAAAACATTACAGACCAATAGAATGCCAGTTCAAGTATATAGTAGTAATGAATCTCAGGCGTCAGTGGCTGGAGAATAAAAAAAAATTAAAAAAAGATGTTAAAACCCCCACCAAGGTAAATTCAATAACTTTGGGATCAAATCAAATCCTTATCTAAAATATATATCTGTATAATACTTTTGGAGATTTAGTGGGTTAAAACAATATTTTGAATTGTACCTTTTCTTTATTTTTTTCTAACCCAATGAAATATTGGAAAGAAATTATGTGAAGGACTCAAAACTCTTGTCTGTCTATCAGCAGATTAACTCTCTGAAAGCAAATGAAAAGCACCCAGATTTGGTGTAATGGGAGAAGCTGCCAAAGTAAAATCAAGCTGGAAATTGTCCGGTTCCATCACTCCCCAAAAAAATATCCCACAATGCATATCTATGAGAGAGGCAGCTGTGTAATAACTTGGAAAGTTGGTGGGTGTTCCATTAACCCCCTCCCCCAGTCATGTGGCCCAGAGTGGAGTATATGCAGACCATCCACAATACATCTCTCTCTCTCTCTCCCTCTCTCTCTCTCTCCCTCCCTCCCTCCCTCCCTCCCTCCCTCCCTCTCTCTCTCTCTCTCTCTGTTGTGGGAAAAATAGGAGAAGGAAGGAGTATTAGGCATGTTTGTCACTTTGAGTTATTGGTAAAATCAATAAAGGCATGATGCAAATAAATAAAATATGAGGGGCAGCAGAAATATACATAGTAATTTCATGTGAAGAAAATACAAATGCTTCTAATGCTGTTGTTGATAAAAGAATTCAAGAATGCTTGTTTTGCTTAACATTTTTCTTGATAACTGCTAATATTCTTTGCCTATATAGTCAGCTTTGCTTTGAACTAGGAAGAAGAAAAAAAATTCTTGAGGGAGGTGGTAGTAGGCCTCTCTTCTCAAGAAGCATCCTTGGACCTGTGTATGTTGGACAACTTTCATCCAACCTTACTAGCCCTCCTGGATCTGTCAGTGGTATTCAATAACACTGATCATGGTATTCTTCTGGACTGCTTTGGGAGTTGGGAGGGGGGAGTACTGTTTTGATGTGGTTCTCCTTCCTGCATGGCTGGTTCAATCAATCAGTAATATAAACCATGATACAAAACTGGGAGACATATTCCCAAAAATAAAACCCTTTCCACCCAGGCCCAGATGCCTTTAAAGGTGACAATAAACACCTTGAATTGCACCTGGAAGATAAAGGAAAACCAGTTCTTGAAGTCGGTGACTAGGTTACTACCTTAGGGCAGGAGGGTTCCCAAAGTTGGCAACTTTAAGACATGTAGACTTCAACTCCCAGAATTCCTCAGCCAGCCAACTCCCACATTTTGGGAGTTGAAGTCCACATGTCTTAAATTTGCCAAGTTTGGGAACCCCCTACCCTAGAATGTCATTCAGTTTTAAAACTTGTTAAACTTTTAAAAGGTTTGATGGGATCCAGTTTTACATGTAGCTGAAGGCGATTCAGAATCACTTCTTTATTGGATTTGCAGTGCTAATGTCCTCCCCCTCTGATGTCAACTCAAATTGGTTCTCCACACTCTCTGATTAGGCATGGGGGGGAGGTGCCTGGCATTCTTTTGTAAATTTAGATTTGATTCAAAATAAGTAGAACACATTTACATAAATAGAAGATACTCTCATTGCAATAAACCTTCATTATATCCCATAGGTTTTCCCCACTGAAAATGTCTGTCAGTTCCTCAAGGTCACTTTAGTTTTCTTTTTTTACTATCAGGTCAGACCAATCTGTAAATCTAGTCAAGGTCAGTTATGACTTCATACTAGGCCATATTTTAATCACCACTACATTACAGACATATTGAGGTTCAGCTCTGGTGTTTTTTAAGAAGGTTGGAAGAGTTCTTGATCCCCTTCCCTCCAAAGGAGTTGAGGTAAATCTAGCTTCCTCATCTCTTCTGCTTTGTCAACTCCAAAGCTTCTTCTTTAAAATGATATCTGACCTTTTCACTAACTGTTGAGAAAATGAGATTACAGCAGTAAGCAGTGGTAAAATAAAAAAGATTCCCTTCCCCAAGCCCCAGCTCTTCCTCCCTTCTGCCACCTAGACCAGTGTTTTTCAAACTTAGCAATTTTTAAGATATATGGAATTCTGGGAGCTGAAGTCCACACATCTTAAGGTTGCCACGTTTGAAAAACACTGATCTAGACTAAATAAACCAAGTGAAAGGTTGCATTTGAAGATGGCAGCTTACAGCCATTTCAAAGGATGGCTGTACATTTTCAATATTTTACATTCATGCTATGCAACCCTGTGTTTTGTTGATCTTTTACCTGATATGGGTAACCAGTCCAGCACTGCTTTGTGTTCCACAGCCAAGGACTCTTTAAAAAAAAAGCAAGATAGAGAAAAAGAGGAGAGAAAAAAAAAGATTAAAATGCTTGCAGAGCAATGCAACCAAATCTTTTGGACATTTGAAACACATTCATCTGACCCTGCCAGAAGGAATGAAGCTGGGTAACTTTGGGCCAATCACTTTCTCTGAGCCCGACTACATTCACAGGGTTCCTGTTATCAGGAACATAGAGGTGTGTTGGATACTGTGTTTACCCAAAAATAAGACCAGGTCTTATATTAATTTTTGCTCCAAAAGACGCATTAGGGATTATTTTCCAGTTAGGGTTTATATTCGGGGAAATATGGTACTAAATGCGTCCGTCTGGCTGATAATCTTAACTGGGGCCAATAAAGAATATACCCCGCAGAATCATATCTTATTTTTACGAGAGAACTACACAGACAGTTTATCATTTCAAAATCTCTCAAGAAAGCAGTATTCCAGTATTTGAGAGGCTGGAAGGGGGGGTTAAATTATTCTCCAAAGCACCAGAGGGCAGGACAAGAAAAATGATTGGAAACTGACCAAAGAGAGAAGCAAACTGGAATTAAGGAGAAACTTCCTAACAGTGAGAACAATCAACCAGTGGAACAGCTTGCCTTCAGAAATCGTGGGCGCTCCATCACTGGAGGTTTTTAAGAAGAGACTTGACAGTCACCTGTCTTTTTTTTTTTTTTTTT